GATAGATAGATAGATAGATAGGACGTTTGCATTTAATTAGCGTCGACATCTTGTCAATCTCTGTGGGTTTCTTCGTGTAGATCGTCAGCGTGCTCCCCTAGAGCTGTAACTGGAAACCGTCCCTTCCTGACGCTCCTGTTTCACATTACAAGTTTTCTACAGGAAGTCAGACAGATGCTTTTATTGTAAAGTATCAACAGGAAATACACTGCATCAACAATGTTAGTGCTGCTACGGCTTTGTTTTGGGGATTTATATTTTGACTGCACAACAGTTTCCCTCTGGTAGAGTTCCATCTTTAGCTTATCTTGAACATAACAAGCGCAGCACTTTTGTTATGCAGTAAAAATGCTGATTCCATGAAGATCTTGCACACAGGCAACCGGTTCTACTGCCGTCACACCTCGAACACATCTTGTTCGAAGGAAAGTCACTCATGCGCTGTGTGCATTCCTCCCAGCATGCCACGGTGAAGTGTTCCCAACCCAGAATGAAATAACTATAATTGACCTGTAGCCTGAGATCCTGTGTTTACTTTCTAGCCTGCAGTTTTTCACATTCAACATTTGGTTATGTGAGGAGATGAACTAGGTTTAGAGATGACTAAAGTGAGATTTAAAGAAGGTTTAAAGGTAATCCTGTGGTTTAAAACTAGGTTTAAAGCTTGTTGCAGCAGCATTTTATGATAATCTATGATTAAATCCAGGTTTTAACTAGGCTGTGTCCAAATTGGCACCTCTCCAGTCAATTACATTTGATCATAACCAACCAAATTATAAACCTTGGGAGCCACACTGACAGAGAAAAGTCATCTCTTTGCCTGGAGACATGACAGCTTCAGCACAATGAGGCAGACAGTGCATACTGTCCAATCAGCATGAGTATCTACAGCGTGTGCAGAGAGTCAGTGAGTGGGTGAATACAACTCACAAGTGTTTGGCCAAGGCTGCGGGTACAGTTAAATAAGCATCTTGTGCAATCACAATCTTCCTCGAGTTTAAACAGATTTTTATCTTTTCATCAGAAATCCTTCATAACAAATACATTTGGATTTCAATTTGACAAAAAGACACCTGCGGACTCACCTTCCAGAACGACCCTGACTTCTATTCGAGCAGATATTCCCAGTACGTCCGGTGGGTTCCTCACGTCACACAGGAAGGTGCCGTTGTCGCTGAACTGAGCCGGACTCAGCTGTATTGAAGCGTCCCTTTTGTTTATGTCTCCAATAAACTGCACTCTGTCTTTGAACTCAGGTGGTCCCTGGAATTCTTTCCCATTGGTAAAGTAGAAAATCTACACAGAGAAAAGAAAATCAGGTTAGACTGCGTGTACCTGAAATCCAAAATTCCCACGTGGGGAAAAAGTTTATATATCTTAAACTTTCTTTGATGGCTTTGAGAATTGAGTTTTGTATTAAAATGATAAATTACTTTCATGTATTATGTCATATTAATGTATCACATCTTTTATTACTGCGACAACGACTAGTCGATTACGCAACTATTGACTGATACAAACAAAAAAAAATGTGAGGATTTGATGCTTTTATGAGAGCGAATATGAAAGAACAAATCAAGTTTTTGTTGCCAATCCGAGACCTTTCATTTCAATTTTCAAGTCCAATCCCATGCTTATATTTACTTATCTGACACATTAGAATAACAGCTGTAACCATTGCATCCAGCATTGCTCTCTTTTTCAACAGTCTGATCTGCTGCCACTGAGCAGCTCCACTGGAGCGGCTGGGGTTAGGGTCTTTGCTCAAGGGCCCCTCAGTGGTGGTAATGAGGCAAGTGCTGCCTTCGTCTTTCCCAACCCACATTTATCTTGCCGTCCCATGGGATTGAACTGCGACCTTCCAGTCCACAAGCTTGCTTAATTTTAGACTCAAACGATTTGCACAACCCAATAAAAATATTAATCTCATTCTTCCACAAATTCAGAGTTAGAACAATCAGGCCAGGAAGCAGCTAAAGGGAATTCAGCCAGACTTTATTTTACTATTCAAATCTGGGTGCGTTTCCTGCTCTGACATGCCAAAGGTCTAAAGCATTCGTGATAATATAAAGCTCTTATGAGCAACACTGCAGCCAGTCAGTCATAATCAAAACACATGGAGCCGGCTTCATCTCAAACATTTGTACAATTGTTTCCTCATCCCTAAAACTAAAACCACTCTGACATTTAACCTCAACTACTGTCGCTACAGGATGACAACGAAGCACATAATCAAGTCAAACAGACAACAGACAAATAGAATAAGTGCCCCTTATCTCCTCTCAATCTGACTTTCTGTATGTTTCTCTGAATGACGCACACACCTAGCAGAGTCACTGCGAGTCGGTTAACGTGGCAGACCTTCTGTTTGGTTGGAAAATGAAAGATTAACATTTCTTCTTTCAAACACCTGCCTTTGCTGAGGGTGCCATGGTTAAAAATAAAACACCACGCTGGCTCTGGTTTAACAAATGGAGACAGAAGCCGGAGTTTTTGTGAAGCCATGGCCTTGTTATTATTAGCTGTATCAGCTGAGTAAACACCGCCCCAAAAAGGATTATTTCTATTATAATGAATCGTTTCCTGTAATCTGAGGTTAACTTTCCTCAGCAGTTTCATATCACTTTCACATTACAGTAACAGGAAGAGTGAATCCTGTTTACGTTACTGATATCGTATTAAACTCTCAAACATTCACATTTTCAGATCCTGACAGTATTTGTTTAGCTCGACTGCGTCTACATTACGCCAGTTAAAAGTTTGAAACATCGTTATCGTGTGAAAACGACAGCACAGGAGCGACCTCCGAGTGGCCCAGCACACGTAAATCTGATGTATGACTAAATAAGTGAACTTATAGCGTATGGAAGGAGCTAAGGAGAGATCCATCCCACGTCCTTCTCATCTCTGTCAACAACCGCACATGTGCAGTACGGAGGATCGGGGGAAGACGTTTATGGATGTAGGGACACCGGCAATCATATCTTTCACAAATAAACATTTTCTCATGAGGTCGGACCGTGCTTATTAACTTTTCAAAACATCTGGCTGTTGCTGGTCACAAGCAGGGAAGTGCTCTACTGAAGATCTGTTTGTGTCAGCCCCGGAAACGCCCTGCCTCCTCTGGCAAACACTTGTTTATTACCATCTCCAAACGCCACACTAATGACTTTAATTTGTGTTGCATTAGCACAAACACAACAGTTAGGACAAACTTTCTTTGCCAAACAAGTTTGCTGACAGTGGTGTGCAGGAAAAGTCCATTTATTTTGATATCACAAATCATGCATTTCCCTCAAGGGCCTGTACAATCTGTACAGCGACACACCTTCTCTACCCTCTGTGTCTTATCAATTAATCTGTTGATCATTTTCTCGATTCATCAATTAGTTGTTTGGTCCGGAAAACGGTGGTGGTGGGGGGGGGGGTCATTGTTTTGAAGAGGAGGTGCTGAAACGTAGAGAAAAAAAAAAAGATGTGCTTACAAATGTAACAGGCTTAGTTTAGTGTGGACGTACTTTAGATGTTGGCTGCGTGCATCTGTTCTGGCACGACTACTCATCAATCTAAAAACCTCCGCGGCTATGTCATTATGTTTGCAGGAGATCACAGCAGACAGGTAAGGCCCGCGCCCAGCCTGACTGATCTGCAAACATAAAGGACGAGACATGAGCCGCAGCCCTCCACGCCCCACACACTTTCTCCATACATAATAGAGGGCACACAGTTGAGCTATGACTATAAACACAATAAAAAAAAAAACTTAAATATGACTTTAAGCTCATTTAAACGAGTGTCTACTGTTATTGCTTTATTAAATATTGTACAGACAGCGTGTCGGATTAGTATACGCTAATAGAATCACAGGCATATGTGTAATCAATTACGCTCACTGTGGCTGACGGAGGCAGTTTTAGCACTTGACAATAAATCTTGATTGTTTGAAAACGACATTTGTGCTAATCACCAGCTTCATCAATCATTTCAGCAGAAATGTACTCGCTGTATAAACACTGTAGCCCTCATCTGAACCCCAGTGTGAAATGTTTGTTTTGTCAGAGAGCTACAAGAATAAGAAAAGCAGGAGTACTAAAACACACAATGGAGATAAATAAATGAAAGTAAAACACAAAGTTCACAAAAAAACAAACAGGACAAACACACAAAGCTATAGTGACACAAGGTGGAAGTGGGAGTGAGCATGAGAAGAACACACAAATTGTCTTGTATCTAATATACAGTATAAATAAATGCCAGGCGCTGAGATGGAAATTAAACTGTAACCTAGTGTGTTTTTGAAAGCGCGCCATCACAATGAGCAGCTGAAGCCTTTCTTCATGTGTCAGGGAAGATAAAACAATCGCAGGAAAACATCCTGGAGCTGTGGGAAACCTTCCCGGAGCGGATCCGACGACCGGCGAGGACTCACCACATGTGGCTCTTTGGAGAACTGATTGTCGGGCTGATTGGACTGAAAACGCCAGGTCACCGTGGTGGCGCTGCTGACCACTTCGTTCGACTTAAAGGTGCATCGAAGGATTCCCGCGGTGCCGTTCTGGATCGTCACTTCAGGGTCGGTGTACACGACGATCGCTGATGCAGGTTTTGTGACTGTTAAATAAAAACAAGTTTAAACTGTGAGGTCTTTGATCATTATTTCACTGTCTAAAAGAAAGGTAAAGGTCTTCACTGTTAATCTGACAATATGAAGAGAAGCAACCATTTATGAAAGCAGCACTGCCGCAGTGAAAAAGACAGCATGTGGGGACATACGTGTGTGTGTGTGTGTGAATGACATATACAGTCAACGGTGTGAACTCTAAAATAAGGTGAAAAAGGAAGTGGAACCGAAATGGTGAAATAAAAGATATTCAGTGTTTTGTTATGAACATACAATTGAATTTTACATTAACGGGACAGCCTTCACCCCATTTGCATTAAGCTT